GTCCCACCCTGTACCCATGGTGGTTACGCCCAGCAGTCAACATTTTGACAGTAAAACCATAAAATTCAGCTGAGGTGTCCCTGTGTCTGTCTGCCACAGACACTCTAAACAAAAGRTAACAGGTACAGACCAAAAGAAAAGAAAAAAGCATGAGCTCATTTTCACTGGGATGTCAAAACCTGACGCCCTCACCCGTACTCATCCAGGCTGAGAGTGTAGAGGATGAGCTCCGGCTTCTCCTCGCTGTTGTCCGGCTGCTCCTGCGTGCTGAAGCGGACGCTCTTGGCCGCCTCGGCGGCGTAGCTGCCGGGTCTTTCGGCCTCGATCCACACCTCCAGGCACATCACGGCCGCGTCCTGCTGCGACTTGGACCAGTAGTGCACCGCCTGGGTGACGTCAAAGCTCTTCCACCCGGTCTCGTGAATGGGGATCAGCCTGTGTGAACACGATGTGTTCAGAGATGACGGACGAGTTTTATTTTATCAACGTATCAAACGGACGCCCCCCCCCCTCCCCCCTCACCGTGCGTCCACCAAGGATGTCCGGTTGGAGCCGCCGGGCAGCACCTCCACCCAGTAGATGCTGACCATGGCGTTGCTGACTGGCCGGTGGCTCCTCCTCTCCGCTGTGAGGCGCTTCTGGTGAGAAGCCCGCTGGTAGAGCCTCAGCTCGGCCATGGTCACCTCGCTGTTCTCCGGGATCCTCGCCGCCATGTCGAACACGAYACGGTGCCGGGTGGCGTCAGAGTACACGAACTCTCCGGAGAAATCTGCATCGACAAACATTTCAGGCATTTTATTCCGACTTTACGCACGCGTAAACGCGTCATTACGCACCAAAATTACGCACGAAAATCATTGTTAAGCTCTGCTACTGCGTAGATCAAAACTATATCGAAACGTTTTCATTATTCACACTTATTGAAAGGAAATCTGTCTTACCTGCATTGCCGGGGATTCCCCTCAGAATGCCCGCCAGGCTGGGCATAGATCTGCGCCTCCTACTGCGGTGCGTTTTCAGCAGGGACGAATATTTGGTTTTCACGTGCGCGGGAATCACCAGGTTCTCCAAGTCACTTTTCTGGGTCTGAGGAACCTTGTCCAGCCCGAGTTTCTGCAGAAAAGCATCCTTCATGTCCTGATGCGTAAAAGCCCCGGAGAGACCCAGGAGAGCGGCGCACAGGAGGCAGGCAGGCAGGGTATCCATGATGGGAAGAGAAAAGAAGTTCAAGGAAGAAAAAAAACTGCAAACTGACTCTCAGGCCTCAGTGGGCCTCTTATATCACTGCGGCCCTCCCAGTCATTCACATTTTGTGAATTGGAGGAGGGGTCAGAACAAAGGTGCCCCGACCTAAACAGGATCTCTTCAAACGAGTGCAATCAGCATTCACCATCTTCTCCACTGATCTGGGTTTGACTCCATTTGGTCATGTCTCATCTAATATACCAAACATTTTCACCAGTCTCAAAGTGTTGGACTGTTTAAATCCCATAAGTATTTGATCTGATTCAGTGCTTAGTTTATTCCAAACAGGCCAAATTATTAAAGCAACTAAAGACATGTAAATCCACTTTACTTAAAATGTTATTTTACTGAATAAATCAYTGTATGAGCACATTTTTTTGTTTATTTATCCTTTATTTATACAGGAAAATCTCATGAGACTCATTGTCTCATTTACAAGAGAGACATTTGCATTATTTTTTTTCAAGGTCCCTTTATTTTACAAACTTTAAATAATTTAACTCCATGTGCTTTTTGGGAGACTCCGTTTCAAATAATACTGTTTTACCTTTAAACTAGATTTAATGGAAACGGTTGACAAGTTATGTTTTATTTCATAGTTTGGATCTCTTTATGTTTGCTTTAAAGCAAAGTTGAACTACTTTGATGTCTGCTTGGACGTTCCCTGGACCCTTTAAAACAAGAGACAGATATAAGAAACAAGATTTGTTGGGGGGTAATATGGTAAGAACTCCTYTTTGTCAAATGCCAAGAAAAAGAAATGCAAAGTTCAATGTTTGAACTCATCTGAATGAACAATTTGGTGCATTTAAACATTAAAAATTGTAATGAAGTTTGTTCCACTTTTGCTTRAATCCAGAGACCACCTGAGTTGTGTTTTCCCTTATCTGATCTGCTCGTTTGACTCACTGTCAGTTTATTTATTTATCATGGCACTTGAGTGTCTCCTGAATTAGTCCACTGTCCTGCAGTCGTGTGTGTTCTTCGCTGTGACACATGTGTTCCAGACAGACATCTCTTGACCCTGTGAACCTGAAGTCTGCTGCCCCTGTTCTCTTCTCAGTAGCAGCCTTGTCCACACACACACACACGCACGCACGCACACACACACACACACACAGCTATCCATTTGGGGGACATCCCATTGACTTCCATTACATTTCTACAGCCTAACCCTGACCACAAACCCTAAGGCTACCCTCACAGGTACCTACCTGACCCTAAAACTAACCTAAACTCAATTCACACCTTGGTCCTAAACCCAACCCTCACACCCAAAATCAGCCTTCGAAGTTTGTGGGACCCGTCCCCATGAGGCTGCATTTTCCTGAAAACTGGGCCCCACGATGTAGGAAAAACAAGACCACACACACACACACACACACACACACACACACACACACACACACACACACACACACACAGAGCTCACACTCTTCATGTGGACATTCCACTGGACGATGTCAGGCTGAGCCGGTCTGGCAGGAGTCTGTCACACAGAGAGCTTGTTTCTGTCTGGATGGGAGAGAGAAAAATCAAGCGTGTAATGCAGGGGAGTGTACGTGTGATGGGGTGGTCTGTGATGAAGTGATGTAGATGAGGGGAGGGTTAGAGAATTAGATGTTTATTCTGTGCTCTGTCACCTATTCTTGTCCCACTCCAGCAAATTAAAACTATTAACCATGTGGGCCCCTCCTGGCTCCTCCTGACCCCACCTCAGCCTTGGATGTGGATTGGGGCAGGCTCTTCACAGGTTGGTGATTATCTGATTCCATTGCAAGGATTTGCCTTGCCCTTTTTTTTTTTTTTTTTGTCACACAAACATTAGAAGAGGGGTGTTGCTGTTGTTGGCTGGAGAAGGGGCCCCCGGGACCTGCATGTGTATTGGCTGTTTACTCAGAGATGTCAGACAGACTGAAGAGGCATACAGGAAGAGAGAGAAAAGGACAGATGAATGCCAGACCTGCTTTTCCCAGGCACCTTTCCAACGAGACACATTACTAATGAGAGCAGGAGAAGTGAGACAGAGCAAGGTCCAATCAAAGGACAAGAAGGTGAAAGTAAAACAGCCAGTTGAGTGAAACTACTTGACATAACTTGGAGAAGTAAATTCAACAAATCATTTCATTTGAGACTAACTTGTGTGATAAGCTGACAAAATGTGAACAGTCTGATATATAAACTGATTATACAAGAAATGCTGCATCTGTTGCTTTATATGGTTACCATGGYGACCACACATCTGTGTTTCTCACTCCCTGAAAATGTTCTTCTGGCGTTCTTTAAGAATCTTCATCACCTGTGGCCTTTTCATGCCAGGGTTTTCAGCTACAATCGTCCTATGTTGAGAAATTAAGAAGTCTGAGATGTTTTGGTAAATAAATCCTGAAAAGAACTTTATCCCTGATCCGATGTAGCCAGTTTATAGGTGATGTGTTGTGAAAGACTATCAGCTACTATCACAACAAATCTTAGCTTAATGTCTGTTAAACTGACTGAGTTATAACCAATTTTATGTTTCCTAAGGTCAGTTTTCTGTGGCAACTACTGAATCTGTTTAACTAAATATTAATCAATGAAAGTTTTAAAAGTCAGCCAAAAGATTCATG